GACAAACTATTGCAAACATTTCATAACAAAGTTGGATGTTAATTAATCTGAATATTTGCCTTAACTTCCTGGAACTCACTTGAATATTGAAATTATGCGCCAGAGGAACAACTATTTAAGACCAATGGTAAAGTTCGGTATAAAACCAAGACCATCAAATTACTACACAAGTTGTTTACTTGTCCTTTATTGTACTTGAGTGTATTTGAAAAGATGCTTAAGAAAAAGAAAAGCTTTCCTCTCTGACAAAACTAACACCAGAGCTATTTTTCACCCCAATATATAAGGTAGTGCAAAGAGAAAAATGCTTACTGAATTACACTTAAAAAATAGTTACACTTATTCTTTCTGCTAGTATACACTTAAAAAAATAAAACTCATGAATGGAGGAAATGATAATATTCAAGGTTTTCCTCATTCCCGTGGCATCTGAAAATACATTTCACAAACCTATGCAAGTTCAGAAATACAAAGAAAGCACAGAACATGGAATATGAATCTTTTTTATTAACCTGAGATATTGGAGTCTCTATTAGCCTATAGTGAAATTCCCCTGCGACACACATAATGGGTCACTGTAATATAACAGTATTACTTGAAAAAGGGCATACTGGAGAGACAGTAAGCAAACACCCTTAGTGTATTTTCTGAAGTTCATAGACGGATATAAGAATTGAGCCCCTCCAGAACTGCAATCAGAGAAAACGATCATGAATAAACAGTTAACTACTAAAAGAGAAAACTCCAGGTAATTAGACATTATTAAAAGGTACAGATTAATCTTAACAGCTTGATCAAAGCTATTAAAACTTCCATGTATGAGTTATAATTACTGATGTTATCATCCTTTAGTCCATTTGCTTAAGATATTTTGTCTTTTTCTAATATTAGCCCAAGTAAACTCTTATCAGCAAAGACAGCAAATACCACCGTCCCTCTTATTTCTCATAATTAACAATAATTCAGAATAATGAGAGAGAAACATAGGGAGCTGAAGACAATGCTTTTCCAGTTTCCAAACCATAAAAGAAAAATGTTAACAGAACCTTATAACTAAAATACTTTGAGAACAGTCTGTGACTAACAATCTGTTATTTACATTGCAAATGATCCACTGAAATCTTCTCAAAAAATCAGCAACTGTAACTTATATTGCAAATCCCACAACAGTCATCACTCAGCTGTGAAAAAACTTATTTTCCTTAGCAGTATTGAGAGTAATCTTGGTGTTGCTGTTTTTCCATTTGTCATCCAAATTTGAACAGAAATCACTGTTTTAAAACAACCTGTTTCTGACAATGTCTGTTGCAAGGTATTTTGAGTTGAATGAGAGATAACTGAATGCCCACAAATACAGATTCTGAGTAACCAAAATGAAATAACACTTTTTTTTTTTTTTCTTCTCCTTTGAAAGGGTCACAGAGAGCATTATCAAGATTTTAATCATCTCAGCTGCATCATCATAAATGTCTTACAACAAAAGGCCACTCTGAGTTATGTAGGTACACTCTGACCTCGGAAGTTCAATTTGCAAAAACATTAGTCCTTTCAAATCCTGCCCTCTTGTGTATAGATCTTCATTAAGTCTTCTAAATAACACTTTCTACGTTCCATTACTTTCCTCCACACCTTCCCTCTCTGCTTTTTATCTTTCCTCACTTCCTTAGTGAGCACCAAACATAATGAACAAAGACTCAGTCAAGAAGAAAGAGTTGATTTCTTCATAGCTTTTCCATAACAGAAGAGGAAGAAAACCTGTCCCTATATGCCTTCTATACATCAGAAGAAAAAATACCAACCCACCCACATTGACAGTTAAAGTATCTTTAATTTTTTTTTTGCTCTGGAATGTGGCCAGCATTCCTATAAACTGTCTGAATAAAGTTCCTAACTACATATCTTATTCTTTTAGACAAGTTTGTTTGCTCCTCTTCCCTAGTAGTACGAAAATTCTGACTGCAGAATAACTCCATAGGATTTATTGCATGCTGGATACATAGCCTATTTTTGGAATTGGCATCAAGCAGTAACTTCAGATAGTTGTGAGAAAAGATTCTCATTAACTGAATATTAATTTTATTTAGATGAAATATACAGCTTGCTATTTTTAAGAGGAAGTTATTAAGGTAATGTTATATAAACTGTGAAGACATTATAAAACTTCATAGACATGATATAATGTCAACATTCCAATTTTATCAAACTACTTTAAGAATATGTATATAAGTAAGAATTTATTATAAAGATGAAAGGGTAGAAGAAATATTTTACTCTGCTCCATATTTTAAGACGTGCATCCTCAGTATAACTACAAATGAGTATTGTAGGTTTTCTTAAGTTTAAATGCTTAAAAACTAAGTAGGCTTCCCACTTTAAAATACACAGCTGATGTAGAAAGTGTTATTTAAAGCATGGCCTACCATTTCAATAGAACAGAAGAAATGTTCCTACGAGTTAATACATGTGAGGAAAACAGCAAGAACTACGAACTCTGTATGAGGCAAAATACAGAAATTCTCACTTAAAATGTGGTCCATATCTCATCTATTAATGTATTCAAAATGGAAATAAAATTCTGAAATGTTCTAATAGCTGCTCATGAGAAAGATTTAAAACATCAACAGCCTCAGAAACAAACAGACAGCTTCTTATGGGGTGGGCTTAGAATATTAGCAACCTCAGAAAAAAACCTACAACTTCATTTATAATCCAGAAAATCAGTCCTTGATCAAATAAAAATATTTACTTTACAAAATGTGATTGCTACTCATTGGTAATCCTTAGTCATTGGTTTGGGGGTGTGTCTGTAAATCATCAGAAACTTTAAAAAAATAAAAATAAAAATGAAAAACAAAAAACACAAACCAGACACCTTTCTTCTTGATTACCGTATGAGTAGAACCTACCAAAGATCAGGGCTTATTGAATTGCAGCTTTGAAGATTCTCGAAGTCTGTAAATGGAGTGAAGATTTATTTATTTATTTTTTTTTAAGTGTTCACAAACACTCATGTGTGATGCTTTGACAAATATTAAGTTATGTCAAAATAAAGGTTCACCAACTGCAAAGTCTCTTTCCGCTCCTATTAATACTGGTTGAACTTTCTTAAGCCACCACCGTAAAGAGTTTTTCAGTGCTTGACTAAAAAACTGCACATAACCTTGTCAATACAGAAAAAAAAAAAAAAAAAAAAAAGTTTAATCAGAAGTGATACTTACACCTAGAAAATAATGAATTAGTAATTCCAGCAAGCACATAGAAGTTCCAAATTAAAACTTATAAATAAAAATGCATTTCAGCCTTTAGTAAGCCAATAGAGAACAAAACATTGTCACACAATCTGCTATTAAAGATATTTTAATCTCAAATTAGGAGTCCTGACATATATACACAATTTAAAATTACATAAGTAGAACACTGGAATCTTAAAAGAAAAAGATTTTCCACTGGCTGGTGCACCAGTAATTCTATTTTTTAGTCTAGAAACAATTTTGGGTATTTTTTAAAAGACTGATAAACATAAGGTACTGCTGAACAAAACTGTTACAGTTGCACAGATTCTCAGGGATTTTCAAGTAGATACAGAACTAACTGTTGTTTTTCAAAGGCTTGCTTTATTTTATTTTTTATTTTTCAATTTGGAATGAAAAAAATAGGTGGCAAGCACCACAATTTACAGATTTGAATAGCAAATAATTACAGCAGGCATTTGGAAAACAACCAATGTTTAAGAGTTTTTCAGCTGTTGGCTAAACAACTGCAGCTATCTTTGCCAAAGCAGAATAAAATGTGCACTAATTGAAAGTAATTTCTGCATCCAGAAAATAATTTCTTCATTAAACTGTTTTAAGATGTTCAACCAATTACTGCTACTCTATCTACTCCACTGTGCAGCCGATTTTTGAACTTCAATCTCATCCGGAGTTTATAAACTATATTTTTTTAAGTGGAACTATTTGACAGCACACAGGACATGCTCTCATCATTGACTCTCAAATCTTATTAGCTGCTCCAATTGTGAGTTTTGCTTAAGATGCTACTCTTAATTCCACACAGTGCAAAATACCACTGTCTTAGATTAAGCCATCACTTCTAATAGGGTTGGTTTTCTTTTTTTCTATGTACACAGATAGATTTTTCCTTATATTTATCTTATGTAAATACAAAGGATACAAAGTTATTGTTTAATCTTGAGACAAACTCTACTATATTTAAACACTAGGAGATTCAATGCTAGATTTTAGACCAAGTTATACATTTAGTTAAATTCTCTTTTGTTATATCAGAAGTTCACTGTGAGGTAGACCACTAAGGACTAATACCACAAACGTTAAAAACTAGATTAACTAGTGGCTTAATAGGGAAACTGTAGGAAATTAACTGAAAAAAATCAGATCACAGTATGGAAAAAGATGATATTAATATATATAAGAGCATAAAAAGAAAATACAACAGATGACGACCAACGGGTACTTTTTCAAACATGACCGTATAAGGAAGCAGAGAAGATAGGATTTTCCTGCCACTTCTGACTGAGTTAAGCTGATTCTCATTATTATCACTGATGAAAAATAATACAAGCCTAGGTAAAGATAATATTCAAGCAAAAAGTTTTATCTACTATCAGGAGCTAAAATTAATTAAGATAAAATTCTCATATGTCTAGATACAAGTATCCAGAGTTTGAGTCTATAGAAGATACGATCTGCATGCTCTAATTATTGAAACAGCAATCAGATTCTTTTCAAGATACCTTGATATCAACATGTACACATTACAACTGCGGACTCAAAAAATTGCTTTAGAGCTTGCACAAATAGAGAGTGCTTATGCTATGTTAAAGCAGTGCAAAATGAACACCAAAGTATATTTTAAAAAATTGTATTTGGTTTATGATTTAATCTTGCAAAATATTAAATATTTGTGTGAAGAAATAAAGCTGATTTACAAGCAAATGCATGAAAAATTGATAATCCACTTAAAGAACATTTTGTACTGACCTTCAGGATCAAGGAGCTTCTCTATGCCCAGGTGTTGCCTGGCTATGTTAAACGCATGGTCTAATCGTTTCACAGGTGACTGCTGAGAAGCAACAGCATTCCAATCAAACAGGTCTGGCCTAAAAACAAAAACAAAAACAAAAACAAAAAAATAATTAAGTTTCTTCTTTTTCAGTGTTAAATTATATATTTCTTCTGCTACGCATCAGTGTCAAGTACTACTTTTTACTTAATGGAAGAATGTATTTGGTCAGATTTGTTCAGTATTGGAATTAATGAAGCTGGGTTTCTAACGTGTCATCCATTTTCATCTTCAACACATTAAGAACTTTTCTTATTCGTCATTAAGCCCCACTGGCCTACAGCCTCATTCCCCCAACCAGTTGTTTCTACCCATTGGGCTCTGGTCCCGTGTCTGCCCAAAATGCCTGCAGCAGGTTTGCTCACTCTCTCTCAGTGTATGGGTGAGAAGAATCGTGCTGTGGCTGTGCACACTGAGATTAACTCCCAGCAAGCCAAGCAGGATAAGTAACTGCTGTGTTTATTTTGCAGCCTTTCTCCTCTCTCCAGTACCCAGTTTTTTACAAGTCTAAGAGCATAACTGCTGCTGAGATTGCCAACTCTCTGCTATATCTGATTGAAATTGGCCAACAGGTTCAGCATATCATAATGTGGGAACATATGCAGCATAACTGCACATGCCACTTCTCATACCAAAACCTTTAGAAAAACACATACTTTTCAGATGAGTACAAAATTGTACTCCAGTCATGGGTTTTAGCTGATATGAGCCAAAGGCCTACAGCACAATTTAAATGTGCTTACAGGAAAAGACAGCACCAGCAAAATTGAATTACAGCTGAGATACATCTGAGTACTTGTACTATAAATTGCAGTATTTACAACATAAATAATGTTAATACAGCATGATCTTTGGCATTTCATCTAAGAATTACCTATTAGGATCAGAATTTGCTACCAGGCATTTTCGAAAAGCAAGTTTAATCAGGTGATCAATAATTAACATGCATAATATGAAAAAAACAAGCGCACTATTTATGATTTTGACACAATGTTCTAAAACAAACCACATAAATATATAATTTTACCTACAGATAAATCAAGTATGATCTAAACAAGTTACAATGTTGTCATTAGTTACGAATGATTTGCTTACATTTTTATTAAATTCAAAAGTTTATTTTAAACAGTGAGTCCTATAGTTATAATAGATGGCAAAAACATTAAGTAGATCAGACTCTAATAACTTCAAGAGAGCAAAGGAAAAATGATATTTATGTAGCAGTAATTTCCTAGTTATGTACCCTTGCTGCCTAATTTCTTCTGAGAGGGGAGTGATTTACATAATAACAATTAAGTTTTTATAAACTATTTTGCCTCTTTATGCAGAGGTTTTTAAATATTAATTACGAATAGACTACTGCTATTAATTTCTCCTTTCCCCATTAGAAAGATTTCAAAATATTAAATTTTGCTGGAGACAAGAGGCTGATGGAAGAGGAATCTTAAGGGGTTATTATCTCTGTCTCTAGTCATGGATGTAGTAAGTCTGTGAGCTCAGAGACAGGCTTGTGTACCAAAATACAAGCATTTTCAAAATACAGATTACATGTGCACAATTTCTTGCATCCTCCTGGTAGTGTATCTGGATAGGATGGAGTTAACAGTCTTCATAGCAGTCCACTGTGTTTTGGAATGGTGGTTTAAACAGTATTGAAAACACATTTTTTCTTTTTCTTTTGCTGCACTCACACAGTATCAAGGCTTTTTCTTCCCTCCACATTCTTGCATGTAAGCTGGATGTGTGCAGAAAGTAGGAGACAGGACAGCTGACCCAAACTGGTCAAAGGGACACCCCATACTATGCAATGTGCCCAGCAAGAAGAACTGAGGTAAAGGAAGAAGGAGATTGGGTTTTCGTCCTCTAAGGCAGCTGTTGCTTAGAGACTGGCTGGGCATCCATCTGCTTGTGGGAGGTATTGAGTGACTGTATTTGCAACACTTGCTTTTCCATTCTACTTTCCTTCATTTATTTTTCTGACTTACAAGTTTTCTTGCTTTAGCTCTTCCTATTTTCTGCTCTGTCCGGGGGCACAAAGCAAGAAAATAGCTGCTCAATTGCTGGTTGGGCTTGACCCACTGTTACACTGCATCCTATATATTGTCATAGAGATGTTCTTCACTTTTTCTCTCAAATTTAACTTTTTTTTTTTTTTTCTTTCTATCTTTTTTCTCCTGTCCTATGGCATAGAATGCCTAAGCTCATACATCAGAATTAGCGAAGGTAATGACAGAGCTCTTATTTTCCTGAAAAGCTCTCCATGGATGTCTTGGACAAACATTACAGGGACTACCGCATATAAAAAAATCAGTGACAAAAGCTTTTAGGACAAGGAAAGAAAACCGAAGTATCTGAAGGACTACTTCCCCCTCCAAATATTTTTTGGGGTGTTTGATTTCAAGTTCCAGTCATATTTCTTCCTCTGAGCAGCACACTGTTTTCACAAAATCATAGCTGGTTTGTTGAGACAAGATTTTATGTCCAAGATCATGGTTTCTTCTAACCAGTCTGGATTCCATTGGGCAAGAACAAGAACATTTGGAATTATGGTCATCAGTAGTATCTTGGATATTCAGTGTCATCCACCTTCTCAGTATATCTCTCTTTGAGATGGCAAAAAATTTGAACTGAGACACAAATATAATAGTAGCAAGAGCTCTACAATAAACCAATGGCAAATGTGTCATAATGTATTTTCTCAATATAATAAAAATAAGAATAAAAAGATGACAGCACAGATTGCAAGCTGACTCAAAGGTATATATAGCCACCTACAGCAACTCAGCTCTTAGAAAATGGACTTAAATTAAGTATATATGTAGAGAGAGATAGAGAGAAAAAGCTCTCCTTGATCCAGCAGTAATCTAACTCTGCAGACTGTCGCTTTTTTGGAAGAATGCTTTAGCATACACATTTCAGCAGTTCCATCACTAGATTATGGTCTTATAATGGCAGTTTGATACGTCAGCTTCTTGGCATAATGTCTCTAGATGTTTTGATTTGTGTATATACAGGGCAATATGACCAAGAATGACTGCAGGGGATACTACAGCCTAGAAGATTAAGAACAGCAGTATGTTGCAAATAGTTCTTAAAAATCCATGAAACAACAGTGAAACAGAATGTTTACTAATGGCAAAGGAGTTTTAAATATAGGGCTAAGCGGGTGTGAAATAGAACAGAATAGAAATCAAATGGAATACTGATTCTCAGCCTTCACTTGCTCTCTCTGTGTTTTTCAAAGCACTTTTCACAATGTGACAGGCAGTAAAGCAAAGCAGACATGGCTAGGAAGTGTTCACTTCTCTCCCTGGAAATATAAAGGCATACACATTAAAAAAAAAAAAAAAGAGAACATATTGAACTCCAATCTCCAATTAGCCACCAGATAAATAGCTACAATAGCACTGACGTTATTTATGACACATTGAGCACACATTGCAAGTTTTAAAGGCTTTGACTGTAATTGTACTACATTTATGTATATAAATGTAATATGTAATCATAGAAAGATTTTGCTCAGAAAAGATCTTCAGGACTATCTAGTTTCCAGCCTCTTAATAGAGCAGATAAACTTTCTACCACTCAGACTGCTCAGGGCCCCATCCAACCTGGCCTTGAACACTTCCAGGTGGTGCTTGGAGCAACCACAGCTTCTCTGGGCTTCCTGTGCCAATGCCTCACTCACCATTCTCAAAGTCAACAATTTCTTCCCTATCCAATCCAAAACTGTTACCTTGTCACTGTAGGCTCTAGTAAAAACGCCTTTCCCATTTTTCTTACAAGCTCCCTATCCTTATACACCTAGGGAGATGGTTCTACTTAACAGCTACTGCCTTGCTATGCCAGTAAAATGCAGAACATACCATTCACAGAACCATACCCAGAATTTATATTCTGAATATTTGCAACTCAAGCTCACTGATGTGCCCTTGTAGCTTTATCAAGAGACCTGCGCTCCACTGCTTCTTGAGCTCAGTATTAAAAGCAATTGGAATAGAGCCTAAATGTCCCTAGAGATGCAGTGATTACACAAATGGGAACATCTACTCCACGTAACCTCTCGAAAAACAACAACAGAAACAGCATTAGAAATATCTGATTTAAAAAAAAAAAAAAAAAAAAAAAATCAACCATAAACACGAGAAGGGATGGATAAAAGTCTATTGAGAGAAAGCTTCCTGCTGAGTACTGCTCTCATCATATTATATGTATTTAGTGCTTCACAGTCGTATCTTACTTCTATTCCCTTCAAGACGGCATGAGAATATTCATTCAGATAAAATTCCATAGTATTCACTGAAGATCTCCCAGATACAAAAAACAAGCCAACCAGCCCTCACTGAAAATATCAGATAAGAAAAATGAAAATATCACCAATGACAGGATAGGGATGGGATTGTTTTTGTTTCATTAAGGCATGTAATTTTTCATTACTATCATTCATTGAAGTAAAAGGGAGCACACGAGGTGAGATTAGCGCCTCATGCTAAGCCAATATCTCCTCCCAATTAACAGCCTTCAATCCTTCCACATCTCAGGATTTTAAGGAATTTCTGAGTTGGAGACTTTATGTTTTGTGCACACTTTTTAATGGGAATTTAGCAAGGCTGTCCAAAAAGGTTGTGTTTCATGTTTTCACTCCAGCCTTAAGATTTTTGCAACTGAATCATGAACAAAGACAACCTAGGGCTACAGAGATGGGGAAGGGTCCAGAGGGGAAGATGTATGAGAGCAGCTGAGGCCCCTCAGCGTGCTCAGTGCAGAGCAGAGGAGCTGAGGGGAGGCCTGATGGCGGCTGCAGCTCCTCACAGGGAGCGGAGGGGCAGCGCTGAGCTCTGCTCTGTGTGACAGCGACAGGGCCCGAGGGAACGGCATGGAGCTGCGTCAGGGGAGGGCGGCTGGGGGTCAGGGAAAGGGGCTGCACCACAGGCGGTGGGCACAGCCCTGAGTGCTGAAGTTCAGGAAGCTCGTTTGGACAACACTCTCAGATATATGGTCTGATTTTTGGGTAGTCCTGTGTGAAGCCAGGAGCTGGACTCAATGGTCCTTCTGGGACCCCTCCAATGTGTTGTACTCTATGATTCTGTTACACTTAGTACTGCCTATGAAGTTTTCGGACGGCAGATGTAAAAAATGTAACAGTTGTAGAAACAGAAGGTTGACCAAAATACAGCAACTTTCCATTGTGCTTATTCCTTGACTTCACTTACGGTGAATATAATGCTTTCCATATTGAAGTGTTTGTTCTCAAATGTTTTCACAACTACTTATCTTGAATTACGTTGAAATATTATCCAGCATCTGAATTGAATTGACATTTAGCAATGCAAACATGATGTAAGACAGGTTGATGTGTTTTTTTCCCTTTATGAAGACCAAATGGACACATAGAATATACCGCTAGTTACACCCTCCGAGTGCAGTAACATCAAAACCAAGAAGAGACGTAAGAACTATTTCCCATTTTACCTACAGTTGCCTTCCTCCTGATACTCTTCTCTCTTTCCCCACACCACTCAGAAGGAACCACCCACAAAGTTGGTACAACAAACGTGTTACAGAGCCTGTAAATTGATGATGAACGCTTGGAAGGTGTTGAAGGATATATCAAAGATACAAAATTACTATGAACTTAATATAGTTTATAAAGTTTTCTATTTTACAGTTTACACGCGCTTCCTTCAAAACTATTCTCAATTATCTGTTATGAACTGCGAAAAGTAGAGTTTGAAAAACAGTTAATTTTCATGAAATTGCAGTTGAACAGCAAAACTAAAATTTCAACCCCATTCCCGTCCTCCACTGTATGTCGTGTTTTCTGAAAGTAGAATGTTAATTAAATCTATTTCTAGCAAACTACAATTTAAAAACTTAGGCAGTCTGCCAATATTTCAAATGAAGCAATACATAAGGACATGGTCAAGTGTTTATTTTGATGCAGTTATTAAAAAAAAAGCTTGAAATATTTTTAGAAGAAAAATCTAACTGTTAAAATACTAGTGTGGTTTAGATTCACCACAGGAATAACCACAGAATTTAGGAATCGATCCTAACAACTTCCTACTTCCTGCCAAAATACTATTCTTTGCACTTCAGTATATAAATATTATGAAGCAATGTCTTTGTAAGCAAATGAAATGAGAATGAGTAAGGAAAATTTAATGTCTGTACTTTCTAAGGGACTGATTCCTATAGACAGCAGGAAGAAATAACTAACAGTATCAGAGAAATCTTCCCTCACTTCTGGAGAGCAGAACTGAAGAAACAAAAAAATCAAACAGGGAAAACAAATGAACTTCAATCAAGAGTGTTTCTGTTAAATGACTTTTAATCCTAAGTATTTAAAATACAAAATATTAATAAAGCATATGATGTGGGAGACATGGGGTTTCACGTAGCCTGGTGATCATCCCCTGTTGTCAGGTTTAAATTCAAACTATCTACTGTAAGCACAAAGCCAAGACACTCTGGCATATAAGAAGTAGGCACCTGCATTTTAAATTGGCTGAAGTAACTGCCAAGGCTTCTTACAAAAGGCTGTTTATTCTTTTATGGGATAGAAGTAGATGAACAGTCAGAGTATATTAGCACACCTATTTTATTGATTGCATCTTGAATCTTGAAGGCCAATTCAGTGCTCCTGCATACTGAACATAAAGTGCAACGTCACTGAAAATCAATACAGAGGACACACTAAGCAATTAAGCATTAAGCAGGCTCACCTGAAAAATTACTGACTCAGGGCTGCAAAGAATATTGAATCTCCCTCTGCGACATTTGCAGATTAACTCAGTGATTAGCAAAGTCCAAAAGAAGACAACTAGTACATCTTGGAGTTAATAGAGACGTACCTCCAAGAATCTGAATGCATGCTCGCAGTTTCCTAGAAGATTGCCCAAATTCCTAGACTAGAGACAAAACTTCAATAAAGAAATTCCTTTTTATTTCCACTCAGGGCAGGCTCACTATGCAGAATGCTATGGAAGATTTATGACAGCAAACATAAGATGAGCAAAAAAGATGTTCTGCTGCTATGTTATAGTGAAACCGAATGAAATGCATAGATTTCAGTGAGTAGGAAATAAACATTCACAACTAGTGAGCTCTGCATTGAACAGAAGACAGCACTGGATAAGATATAACTTACAGATACTTAGACTGTTGTCTAGTGCTGAGGTAGCCTAAGTAGGATGGAGGCACCTATCTGCATCCCAAACCAAGGACTACTAAGTAAGAGCCTCTGTTTAGGAATCAAGAGGTCATTTTATAGAGCTGGACAGAATGGAATTTGTCAGTACTAATTTCAGGCACCAGGTGATGACAGGCAGTATTTTTAAGCAGGCAATTTGAGTATTTCAGTATCAGATACCTTCACTAGGAAACAGGCAGCCCAATATCACATCTAAGTGAAAAGACATATGACAACTCTGGCCTTCTGCTAAACTGATTTGCTAAAAGCCATATCAAAATAGTTAAAATGTCAAGCGATAATACTGATTTTAGATTTTGAGTTTACAATACTAACTAGCAATCCAATGTAATTTTAGCATAACCATTTTCTGGTTCTTTTAAAATATTTTTCTTTTGAGATATATCTAATTCTATTTGTTGTTGTTGTTGCTGGAACAATCTGACAGTTTTCTGTTATTTATTAATGTCCTTCTAGGAACTTTATCACTAGATGTCAAGTCTAGACTGTTCATTTTGTAGTGAAAGTCACCTATGACAAATAAAATACTTGAAGCATCTGCATAGGCATTTACTGCTTTAATTTGGAATTATTACTCAACAGTTTTTGTGGGAAAGCAAAAGACTACTTCAAGCCCTTAAAAAAAGAAAAGCTTTGTAGTGCTTTGTGAACCACACAGAAGGAAAAATCAAAATGTCATAAAACAGACTAAAACTTTCCAGTTTCACAATCTATAACATACACATGAAATGAAGAGTAGCTTGTAATGATCATATTGTTAACACATTAAAACTCTCGGTAGCTGCTGAAGAGTAATTTATAGGAATAGTGATATGCAAAGAGCCTAGAGATGCATTTATATTTGCTGTAACCTTGGATAAGCATTAAGTTTTCACCTTCTCAGTGCTCACAGTGCAGTGATAGAACTATATTCTGGAAGATCCAGGGAAAGATTTTGTTAAACTCCATTAATTACTTCCCCAAAATAATAATAAATGTGCATTCTCATGAGCTTTCATCTAAAATTAACACACTAAGATGTATGTATGATCAAAAAGAGAATACACATGCCTGTTCTAAAATTAATTAGCCTGAAGAAAGCTACATTCTTCTAAGGATGTAGCTAGTAATTAGCTCTACAAATGAGTTATTAATAGACAAATCTAAACCAACACTTTGATATGACAAATGAAGAGCATCACTGACCATGGAATATCATCATTTTGAGTACTCATCTCAGTAGTAACAAACGTAATGTTACCCACGTATTTACCAAAGTAAAATGAATTTGTTTGAGAATGTCATGATCTTCTAATTATTATCTGCATGTATCTCATCAGTCCGTTAATGAGCTTTTTGTTATACAATTAAGTGGTTGATTTTCCTTGGAAAATTATCCCCAACAACAATCACCACTACAAAAGTAGGAGAGCTTTGTAGATGTATTGAACTCTGAATGCAAAGCTCTGAATGAAGTTCTTAATGCACAGAGTCCAGTTAAAGATGAAATTCTCCAAGCACATTACCCAAGATACAGTTTAACAACATATCTAAGAGGGTAGAACCATGGACTCCACAAAGTGCTATCATTGTGAGAGCAGTGACCTTAATCAGACAGTTTATTCAAAAACAGTTACCTGAGGTAGTGAAAATTCTGGAAATACTTGCAGATCTTCACTAGTAAATTTGAAAGACAGTCTCTAACTGTACTTTTGAAAGTATTTAGCAAAATTTTATTTTAGGCTTTTAGCAACTAACAAAATATTGCTTGGCTTGTTGTACTAATATTTTTTAAATTCCAATTATCTCTTGCTACATAGAACATATTCATACCTGTTCAAAAACTTAAATGACAATCTGGAGCAGTCAGCTGCCTTGCAGGTCTATCCTCTTCAGGTGAGAGGTACAGAAGTATGAAAGGCAGTTCAGGAGGCTTTCCACATTCGAAAATAAGTATTTCTTTGAAACCAGTGGTGCCATGAGTCCCACCAGCTAGACCTTTAAAATAGACTGGCTTGCATCTTTTCCTTAATCCAAGTATACAGAACCACTAGAGGACTTCGAATCTCTAGAGATAAAGTTTCATATAGCATACACCGGAAGAAGTCAAGTACTAAGAGAGGGAGAATACTAAAATCAGCTGGTGAGCAACATAAAAGGTTTTGAAAATTCTCCAACTCTGTCTTTTCAAGGCAAATCCATACTTTCAATCCAGCAACTGTCAGAGGCTTTCAACAAGCACTACACTGTGCCTCTCTAGGTGCCTAAAGGAAAATGTTTTCCCTCTAGGTCAACCTCAAAGGTTTAATTTTGGATTTAGTGCTTGCTTTTCTTGAAAGTTTCCAAGCCTGTGATCCTCTATCAGACTCTCAACTTGCTATGCATTGAAATTCCAGGAAAAGATCTGAGCTGAGAACCTTCACTTACAGTGTAGGAAAGCTCAGATCCTCTCCCTCTGATAGAGGTTTTCAGTCTGACTGTGTATCTACCTAGTTGACAGTAAAAATCACATAACAGATACACCATTCTCAAGTCCTGTTGGAGCCATCTGTTATAGGCTCTGAACTGAAAAGACTGAAACAATGAGAAGTTAGTTTTCCTACCTGTGACTGTGAAGGAGTGCATTGAAAGCCAATCCATCAGACCAGCTACTGGTGAAATTGATAACATTGACCTGTGGGTAATTACGAGTTGATTGACGGACCCAGCTCAGCAGAATCTTTTCACTGTTTGTCTGCTGCAGTCCAGCCATGATGTTTTTCATTACATCTTTGACCTGCAAAAAAACCCAGAATCTCATCAATGACTGAGCATCCTCATTTAAAGCTAAATCATTTTTTGATTCCCAAAACCTCCACTTGCTTAGATATAAGCATTGAAGAAAAACCTCCTAGGTAACCAAAGAACATACTTGGTGTCACAGTACAATGACAGTGATCAAACTGGAATACATAAAAACAACTGATGCTGACTTGTTGTCTGCCATTGCCGGCGCACTCAATAAAATCACCACTGTTTCCCATGAAGTGCTCCATGAGCAAGCAGAGAAGGTACATTTGCATCCACTTCTTATTGGAACAGAATGCGTACAAAAGCAGCCTTTCTCTTTGTAGTTTTCTTTGCTCTGGAAATGCAACCATAGTTAATAGAATATAACAAAGGCTGATAAAATGATAAAAAGCATCTTTCTCTCATCAACAAAGTTGAAGTAATACAAAGGTAAAATAAATAAGAACAGTAGAGAGCACAGTATTTTCTATTTCAGCATGTAAACTGTATTTGCATATGTGTACCCAGATGAAAAATGAATTTCACTGCATGTATTAAAGGAACACTGCATATGTTTCATGTTTTGAATTTTGTTTCAGAAACAGTTAATATTCCTCTTTCATCAGAGAAAGCTCACCTATCTCTAGTTACTGCTTTACAGAGCAATTAATTCTGAGGGTTTATAAAATATTTCCCTGGAGTTTGATACAGTGTAGCTGCTAATATATTTCTTAGCAACTTCTTTACTGGTGAAAGAGAAGCTCATCATTTATTTTCTTGTAAAGTATTCCCTTTGAAATCACTGTGCTCTCCATATATCTTGGAAAGCATAGCAGCTTTTAAAAAATATTCTCTAAGACTTTAAAATTTAAAAGTTAACTATAGAGTTGTTTTTCCTTATCGACTCATCCAAGGTATTTCTTTATAATTCTCACTGGCATTGCTCAGCAACCAGTATCATCAGAAAACAACACCTAGTTAGTGCACTATTTACTTTATGACAAGGATTGACCACATTCTAATAATAAAACTTGTGATGCAATACACAAGCTACAATTTCAAAGCATAATCAACTATAAAAAAATAATTACTAAGGTACTGCAGAAAAACAGCAGGAATCAGTTCATTATCCAATCTGACTCCAATCCAATCACTTGAATCAATTATTGAACAGAGATATGAATTACTAAAACAATCTCTTGTTTTTATATCTGAATTGCATACTATTATCAATGCCTTCAATTTTTCATTTTTGACACAGGTATAAAATTAATTTCTGGCATGAGAAGAGGGGGAGAAACTGATCCTCTATGAAATTCTCCGGCCATAATCTTGCCTTTAATCTACAACTGTAATTTCTACAAACGACAACAGTACAAATGCTAGTAAGACAAGAATAACAGCATTCTGTAGTTCCTTCAAATCTACACCAGAAAACAGAAAGTAAAGAGTTTGGGAAAATTAGTAAGTTTGCTATTTAGGTTTTTTTTTATGTGTCTGTTTGGGTATCCTTAATTTTCTTCTTAATTTTTTTAGTCTTCATTACTGAGACTTGCCAAATTAGACTTAAATAATTCAGCAAGAGTTCAACTGCTGTATTTCCACACACACACAGACGCAAAAACTGACTACAAAAACATAAAATTTTGTTCTTCGTGAATCCAGGTGCTGAAAAGAAGTTTCAAGTGCAACATTTATTAAACCAAATTTTAACAACGTGAAAGCATTCAAAATATCCAGGTTGCGCTAATGGAGAAATATTCATGCTACGGTTTCATTGTTCATTTAGGATTTTTACTGTGTCCTTGTGTTCACAAGTACAGGTATCTGAATATAAGAAGTAAACAATAACATTTGAAAAATACAATGTTCTTTTTGTGGGAGAGCTGAATTTATGCAAAAACAAGAATTAAAAATATAAAAGTTTGTAACAAATAAAAAATCAAATGCCTGCACTGACATTAAAGTAACAGAAAGTATCAGTGAACTGTGAACACTGTGAAACTCTAAGCTGGCCATGAAATAAAGCAATGGGCTGCCAAGGAGGTAACTATTCAAATTAATCCAGGCAAACTCTTGAATTTTGTTTTTGATTTAAAGAGAAACAGCCTGAAGTTCTCCATTTTTTTCTACTTTTGAGAAAACAGCTTCAAACTCATCTTGTTGCGTTTAATATTCTGACTGTAGATAAAAGATTTACTCCAATTTTCCTGCATTTCTCTGCAGAAGACTGCTAAATTTATGATTTTTTGCTGCCCCTTGGGGAACTGCAGGCATTTAAAAATAACAAAGTAAAAGGGCCTGATCTCATCCTGAAGGTTTAGATTGTTTCCTATTCAGTGAGAAATAGTGAATAATTCCCCTTCTGCAGTTGGAAACCTCCTTGTTTTCCTGAGCACTTCCACCCTTTCTGTCCTGACAGCAGCACCCTGCACTACTGGGGGCACTGAATGAGCTGCAAGTGGGATGGCTTGGCCTTGAACCAAGTCTGCAGCTGAATAAGAGAAGGCTGGCACTGAGGTTAGAAGGAAACTTTCTGAAGGCTTCTTAGTTAAGATGCCCTCTTCAGAAAGACCAGTACTTAGAAATGTGTGTGTCAGCCTGAAGAGCTTCTGGATGGATTCCACCCTGAAATAAGCTGCCTCAGCATCCAAGATCAAAAACTACACCCATTCCAAAGCAGCTAGCAGTTCATTTATTTCCTACCACTCCTTTCTAATGTCATACATCCTCACAGAAAACAAAGCTTTAATGCATAGGAAACTCCAACTGGTGGAAAACAGAAATAGTTGCTCTTACTGGTGGATGGCCCCATACTACTGTAATAAGAAAAACTGCTTTTAAATAAAAAGAGGGAAAGGGCAGCATAAACACCACCACAGGTAACTTCCAACATGTTAAAGTTACAAACTAAAGGCTATGAACAGAACAGGCACACGACCTCTCATCACGCAGGGAAACATTGAGGCTCCTACACCTGAGGCACGAAGGCAGGGAGAGGCCACCTCCAAGCAGCCGGAATAGAAAAGAGCTGGTCCTGCCACCTTTTCCAGCAGGGAGGCCTCCTCCGTTCCTTGCTGTCGCTCGATAAACGTGCTTCCTTCAGGGAGCCATGCTGAGGAGATGTGAACCAAGCACAGTGCACGGTACCTCTGTATGCAGCTTGCCTTGTCTCAAGGCACCTGTCTCAGCACGAGGCACGTCCAGTTGTGGACTAGGGACTGGGGAGGCTGAAAGCGAAGGAAGGGGATGAGATGGCACATAGAATGGTTGCAAAAGAAGGTGTGATCCAGAGGCCTTGATTTTGAGGAATGTAAAGGCCAAAGACTCCAAGGTACTAAGAGCTAAAAAGCCTTTTAAGTTTGGATGGCATGGGAAGCATCTGGCACTGGGTGTGAAAAACCAGCGCATCTGTGCCTGGCCCTCTGCTGCAGAGGACTTCTGATTTATCTGCTAGACTGCTAGGAAGCCCTGGAGTCTTTATGTGGGTGCAGGCTATCTATGAACACTGCACACCTGCAACAAAAACACAGGCATGTAACATTTTATTGGAATGGTACAGAGATTCAGTATGCCAGCCACTACAAGACAGGGAGGAAAATACGACAGAATTTAAAATATTACTCCTAAAGTTAAGGCTTTTTCATTTTGCTCAGTCAAACGGGGTTCTGGCAGCTCCCTGACAGAATGATTTAGTATTTTTTACCTACTATATTTCAGGTATTCTGACTGCATGGATTACTTTTTTATGGCCAGAATCCCCTTAACTCTTTTAAAGCACATTTTAAAGAACTCCTTTTTAAAGAACATTTTCATAGATGTTCAAGACACCCATCAAAGCAAGGGAAATTCTTTGCTCATTGATTTGAGGTAAAATAATAAGACTGTTAGTATTTCATTTCCACTACTATATTTCAAAGTGAAATGGTAATTCCAATTAAAGTACAGGCTGTGCAATAAATGCATGAGAAGTCCGAAACTGTTAATAGCTCTGCAAAGAAGGCTAAGTGGAATATTTTCTCTCTGGAATATTTTCCTCATGCATACAGCTATTGCTTCGCTCTTTTTCAACATTTTGTGACTTTCACCAAAGATGTTCATTAGGTTTGGTTTTTCATTCCAGTTATGAAAATAGGTTTGCTCTTCAAAAATAATAAAAATAAATAAATAAATAAATAATGCCATAAAATTCTGCCATACAGAATCTTTTTCTGCTTTTAAGAGAGAGATTCTTTGCCAAGCGTAACAATTCAGGAATTAATAGTATTGTTTTCTTTTTGTTTGAATACTAATTGAGCAGTGAAGCTGAGATCACAGAACTGTGAGGAAGAGGGCAGCAGCTTCAAAGAAATAGAAACCCTAATAGATTCAGCACCACGAAGAGCTTAGGCAGCAGGTGCTCACCTCAGAACCATGGTTCAATTTGAGTGAAACTTTTAATAATAATTTGAAAAACAGGCTAGATAAGAAAGGACATAATCAGTACAGAGGATAGAGAAAGCCACAAGATCTCTACTGAACAGAAATGAGAGTGGCAAGAATGAGACAAATCTTTTCTGCTGCAGTGCCTCCACAACTGAGAATGCTGATATCCATTCCGACTAGCACTGAAGCACTTTCTTATCATGAAAGTTTCTTCCTTCATTTCTCTCTCTCTCTTTTACATTTTACACAAAGACCCTGACATTTTCGTAAGAGGTGGTCTTGTTGCCATATATAATTGTAGTTCTACCCTAATGTCAGCCTGGTGCAGGATGTGAAACTGAAAAAAGCTTTTTGCCAGTTAATCTGCAGAAAAAATATTTAACTGCCACACAACTCATATCTGCTATTTCCATGCAGGCAGGTGTACTTCATCTAGGTGACTCTTCTCAGCTCCGAAAGCTCTTGGGATCATAAAGGGAATGAATTTGCAAAAGCAGGATTGCATCATCAAGCACAGACTGCAACAACAGCATACATAAAATCAGCCACTTACTGTATATAGGCTTTTTTAGCCTCATACATAAAGTAGACTTGATACAAATCATAGGGAAAGGGATATTTTACTCAACGATAAAGAACTGGCAGAAAACTTTAGTGGCCCTAAGTCTGTAATTTAGTCTTAAAAACAGCTTGTCATATTCTCAGCTGCAAAGTGTGAAGAACTATTTGCAACAGGGAAAATAGTGCAGAGGATGAAGAGACCCATTCTTAAGAAACTTACGGACTTGTTTCACCAGAAGTGTTGTAAAAGTGTAAAATAGTACCAACTTAAGAACAGAGCAGAACAATCACAAATGTTCTAGATTCATGTAAATCACTTCAAAATTTGGAAGAAAAAATGGAAAAGGACAAAGATTTTTTCCACAATAGTGTAAATAAGCAGTTTCACTTTTAACTGTTTCAATCCTTTGAGGGGAAAATGCAGCAAACCAACATCTCTAGAGTTCTGTTTAAAAAGACAAATCTGGCTTTATATTTATTTTGTTTATTCATTATTCAACAGCAACTGCATTATCATATAACAACGTCTTCTTGCAAAACACAGCTTTATCGTTAAGAATAGAGACTGATATTCAGTTCTATCCAAATCAGAATCTATGAAATTTTGAATAAAAAGACAAATCTAGAGTATACAGGTCACTTCCTTTCAACAATCCATAAATAAATTGACATGGAACACTATAGACTAAGCATGGGCTGAATAACGAATACTCAAGACAGCATCATATTATTAATCCCTACTTTATAAATATGGTCCCTGGACTTTTCATACATGGATAATTCAGCTGATGCCACTGGTATCATCACTGTCACTGGACTCTTGACAGAGTTTGAAATGAAGAACCTATATACTGCACCAAGAACAAGTACCCTAAACTCATATACTGGTCATTAAAAACCTCACCAAACTATGAGAAATGCTGAGAAAATGTGAAAGAAAAGCTAGTAAGTACTAATAATACTAAAGCACATCTTTAACACTTCTTTTCAGGTAAAAATGTGAACTAATCAAAATATGAATTTTAACATGACTACTCATCTCAGTCCATAATTCATATAAAGCACAGTGATTCCAAAATAATCGGTAGAAGATGCTCAGATAGGTTTCATTTACCTGCTCTTAGTAAGTAATTTAGAACAGTGTTATGCAATTAAACTAAAAGTATTGGAAAGTGAGACAGAGATAGAAGTGATTTAACAATTTGCAGCTTTTCTCTATTGCTCTCATTACAACTTATCCTGTAAAATTTGTAAAGAATTGCTCCCTACTGCAATGAATTATCCACACAATTTTTTGATAGGAGTGTTTCGTTTTTAATAGAAACTCCTTTAGGTTCTGTTTCCCACTATCTTTTCTTGTAATGCTACGTAAACTTCTAGATTATTACTTGGGGACCTGAACCAGCACAAATGGACAGACCGTTAACTTAGACTCATACAAATACACAGAATTAGAGCACCTAGATGCTATTTTCTTCCAAATGTTCATTTTACAGCTGTCTCAGACTTTGTTTTCCAAAGTGTCCTCATCTAACATGTTGGTTTTCACATCGATAACATAATTCCTCATTTCTCCCTAAAGTGAGACAAGCTAAATGACCAATATCTGCTTCTATTAATTGTTCAGAAAGCAACTTTTTAGGATTTAAAATTAATTCTTGGAAAATGGGTCAGTTGCAGAAAGCATGAAATATAATTTTTTAATTAAAACAAAAGATTCTCACTACAAGAAGGGTCATAAGGGGTCATAACGATGATCCGGTGAACTACAGGTCTGTCAGCTTGACCTCAGTGCCAGGAAAGTTATGGAGCAGATCATCTTGAGGGAGATCACATGGCATATGTGGAACAACCAGGAGATCAGACCCAGATGGCATGGGTTCATGAAAGTCAGGTCTTGTTTGATCAACCTCGTCTCCTTCTACGATCGAGTAACCTGCCTAGCAGATGAATGAAAGGCTGTTGGTGTACTCTACCTAGACTTCAGCAAAGCCTTTGATACTGACTTTCACAGTATTCTCCTGGAGAAGCTGGCAGCCCGTGGCTTAGACACTCTTTGCTGGGTAAAGAACTGGCTGGATGGCCAGGCCCAGAGAGTGGTAGTAAAGGGAGCTAAATCCAGCCAGTGACCAGTCACTAGTGTTCCCCAGGAGTTGGAATTGCAACCTATCCTGTTTAATATATTTATCGAGGACCTGGATAAGAGGACTGAGAGTCAACAAGTTTGCAAATAACACCAAGTTGAGAGGAAATGTTGATTTGCCTGGGAGTAGGAAGATCCTTCAGAAGGATCTCGACAGACTGGATAGCTGGGCTGAAGCCAATGGAATGAAGTTCAACAAGACCAAGTGCTGATTCCTACACTTTGACCACAACAACCCCAGGTAACGTTACAGGCTTGGGGGAGAGTGGCTGGAAGTCTGTGTGGAAGAAATGGAGCTGGGGGTATTGGTCGACACTCAGCAGAACGTGAGCCAGCAGTATGCCCATGTGGCCAACAAGGCCAATGGCATCCTGGCATGTAATGGAAATAATACAGCCATTGGGAGCAGGGAGGTGATTATCCCCCTGTACTCAGCTCTGGTGAGGACACATTTCAAGTGCTGTGTTCAGTTTTGGGTCCCTCTGTACAAGAAAGACATAGTGACCCTGGTGCATGTCCAGAACAGGGCAACAAAGCTGTTGAGTGGGGGCATGATTTACTGGGGAAAAGGTAGTAGGTGGTAGTAGGTGGACGATTAGACTAGATGATCTTGAAGGTCTTTTCCAACCTTGGTAGTGCTATAACTCTATGATTCATGTTCTGAGACTCTTAAAGAAAAAGTGATTATGAAAGCTATATATCCACGTTGGTTTTGTCTATTCATTTTTCTTACAATAACTGTTTTATATATTCTCCTGCAATGTCTGGCTGTGAAATTATAGTCAAAACAGCTGCTGCTGAAACCTACTATATCTTCTTAAGATACTTAATATCCTAGATGATACATAAACAGACTCATAAAACCTGCTGATTTAGGAACTTATATTGCTTACAGTGTCAATGTTTATTTAGTAGTTTGAAGCTGGACAGTAATGGAATTAAGTATAAGAATAAAAATATATCACAGAAAATATGCTGTGGAGTCACTCACCTGCCAGTGGAGGATTATATTCCAGATCAAACCAAGAGTCAGTTTATGATTGCCATCCACAATGTCTGAGCTCCCAATATTTACCAAATCAACCTATTAAAAAAATTGTTTAAACTGCATTAGATTAACAGCAAGCATGAGAGGTTGGTATTATTTTCATACATTTGGTAATTAACTTTCTTCGGGGTGACGGAAAGTTAGGAACAGGCTAGGATAAATCTTGCATTTTGTTTCCGCTGCTTATAAAATACCCAGCTTATATTTTATACATGGTGCAGATAATGTGCTGGCAAAAAGCAAGCAGTGATCTAGAACTCCAATTAATCCAGCTGTGAAAACAAAGAATTAAAAGTAATAGTTAATAATAATTTTAAAATCTTTTATAATAAGGTCCTAGAATCACAAATCACAAACCCAAAGGTTGACACAGGAAAGTTCCTGCATTATTCTCTGCAGCACCTTATGTATCACAGTTTGGTAAAAGCAATACATATATCTAGGATCTGCAAGAACCTACAAAAATTAACATACTATTCTACATATTTATATTAAAATAGAAGTAATTTTGTCTTTCTAAAATTCTACAATGCAGAAGGCAGGGTAGGATTTATTTTAGAGTACAGCAAAACCCATGACTGTGATGTACATGTTTCTTTCCATACTTCTTTGTTAAGCCATGTCAGTTTTTACAATTATATTATGCATTTCTAACTGCAAAATGCATCAGTATTTGCCAGCCTGGAATATTCTCTTTTCCACTTGTGAAATGATTCCTTCACCCTCTCCCACTTTTTATGCTATTTAAAAAAGAATGCCAAATTCAGAATTGAGAGAGCAAGACAGTGCACTTTGGGGCAGAAACTAAGATTCTGAAATTTACTTCCTCACTGTTTCATAGATTTAGTTTTTCATGGTCAGAACTAATACATATATGGTGAAGTACCTTGCTTCTTCACAAATTGCAGTCTTCATATCTCTATTACACATCTGTGGCAATTTTAAGTTACATCTATATAATAACTAAAGGTTTTGCACATTGAGAACAAATGTTACCTTCAGTATATTTATGGATAGGTCATTTTTACTAAACATATACAAAGCAGGTATTTTGTCAAGAGCTTGAAAATTTTTCTGTAACAATTTATACTTTTTTCTTTCTCACTATAATAATGTATTAGTTGCTATTCATTCTAGTATATCGGGAACATTTCCCAAGAGGAGTTTCATATCCAAAATGTCATTGGGGTCCATACAGCAAGAGATCCACTACAAAGTTTATTAGGGTACCAGCTACATGTTTTATAAGTCAAATCCTCTGCCTGTATTTGGAAATTGAATCTTTGTCACAGAGACTACATCTGTTTAACTGAAACAGTTAAGAACACTTTTCAATCTCCTTGAGTTTTGTCTGAGTTCACATTAGAACAATTCTCTGCCTGAATACTAGCAAAAATACCACAGGAAAAAAACCCCATCAAAATCTGTAAAACTGATTCACTGGAAGCAGCAGCATTTTTCAATCCAGATGAGTGCACAATCTCAGAGCAAGGATGGGAAACATCACCATTAGTTTCAGTCTTTAAATAGCCATAGAACTGTTGATTTTGCATTTCTGAAGTTCTATAGAAATCACTCTTGAGATTATTTTGAAGGTCGAAGAAGCTATTTCAAAAGCAGATCTTTTAGCTTCATAATGATCTGATCAAAAATATTTTACACAGCTTTCATGATCTTCATTTTATGATACGATGGCCACATAGAGTACACACTCTACTTTGCAAAGGATGCAGCCTGTTCTATGTTGTTCAATGAGTGTTTTATTTTCTTTCTACATTTGAAAGGGATTATCCTGGAAACTGAATGATAAGCACATTAATGGCTTTAGCTGATATTTATTAAATGTTTTTTTAAAAAACATTTACTGTGAAAATGTGAATGTATAAATGTGTTCAAAAAAAAGTTTTTGCATCTTGTGAAATGTATGGCTGATTTTTTTCAACAATGTCATATATTGCAAATTGCGAAGAATTAGCAGCTTTCCTCCTATTTATTTACATTAAATTTCATTTAAAAAATCATGTTAGAGGTCTTCATGACAGTCTTATAAGGTCACTTTCATTTATGCACAAATCTCTAGATGGATAAGCATTACCTTGGATTTTTAAAATCAATGACTTTATTCAGCAGCTGAACTCAAGCATGTTTAGTGACCTACTGCAGCTATCAAGAAATCCAATATCATATGCAGCACAGAATACATTATCACTGTTCCATCACATCTTACAGTCAAGTTTAAGTGAATGTTTGAATTTATTCTTGAGGAGGATGTACAGTGTAATTAGTTGGCCATTGAAAATGCCTGCTAAAGTTATGGGCACATTAGAATGCTTGCGCAACAAAGATTTTACTAGAATATTTACTCTAAAAAGATGCACAAGATTCTGGCCTGAATAGTCATTTTTGACAACATGGAAAGCAATTTTTATGTGGATGATTTCCTTAATGTTATGAATCCTAAGGAACACATATCAGTGTAAATTTAGAAAAAATATTGCTTTAAAACAAACAAACAAACAAACAAAAAAAAAAACCCTCATTTTTTTGGACTTCTTGATTTTTGGAGATTCGTGAGTGTTTGTTTTTTTAGGTAGTGCCTCATAACCAGCTAAGGATGTCTTATTGTAATTAACTTTTAAAAACGTATATTAAACACCACGCATAACTATAAAATTGTACATGTTGATCAGTCTTCAAATAGCATTCATTATGGATATATTATTCAAACATTTGCTGGCAGTGGATTTTACTCTTTGAAATACATTCCATACTGGAGCTGAACTCTAAGTGTCCAAGTCACATTAACAAACTGCCTTGATTCCAGAAATTTTATTCTTTAGTTCAGCATGCATTCTGTAGGACGTTTTGACCCTGCCCATCTGATTACTTACATTATTTCTCTGCAAAATCTGCAGTGCTTTGTTGACATTGTTCAGAGCATGAACTTTTGTGGAGCCCTTTTCTTTTGCCTATAAAGGAAATAAAATAAAATTGACTGTCCAGAATCAGAAAATGGAATACACTGTATATAGTACAAATTTTGTATTACACCCAGTGTATCATATTTCATAAGTTTATGACAATATTAGTGAGGGTATTACAATACATTGTGCATATGCACCTTCTTCATATGAAACAGAGGCAATTTTAAAACAAACTGAATCCATGGTTGGAAGCTAATTTAGTATCTTGACATTTTCAGTGAATGAATCACTGAAATGTATATAAAAATAGATAATTTCAGATTGTTTATATTCTGATTACTTTCTGCTCCATAGCACAATTCAGGAACATTACTATATCAAACAGATACGTATCACAGTGTTTGATATTTATTTACAAATATAGCCTCTCCGGACTTACCTCTCAGACAGTTTCATCACTCTTTTGTGAGAAAGATTCAAAGGAAGATTTCAAACTCACAAAGTGCAAGCAGCAACTCAAGAGACAGTAGCCAAAACTAGGTTTGATGTGCTGCTTTAGAATTTACAGGTTGCAAGCTAGTCTGACTTTTTAGATGTGTATTACTTCAATATATAAACTATGAATATGACATTTATTAGCAAAATATTCTAATTATATACATTAAATAATATTATGTTTAGTTAAAATGTCTACTGATGCATAATTGCTGAATTACAGCTAAAAACCCAAATACCTAAATGAATCAAATCTCATAGAATGAATGGCCAGGGTCGGAAAGGACCTCAAGGATCATGAATCTCCAACCCCCCTGACACAGACAGGGCCACCAACCTCCCCGTTCAATATTAGTCCAGGCTGCCCAGGGCCCAATCCAACTTGGCCTTTAACACCTCCAGGGACATCCACAGCCTCTCCGGGCAGCCTGTTCCAGCACCTCACCACTCTCTCTGTAAAGAACTTCCCCCTGACATCCAACCTACATCTTTCCTTCCTCAACTTAAAACCATTTCCCTCAACTTAAAACCATTTCAAATCTCATCCTTGTTTCTCTTTACCGATATATGCATACAAGCAAATTTGAGTGTTTTCATGTTACATATAGCCCTATCAAAGATTTCCTGTCAAATATAGGGCTCAGTTGTAGTATTTCCTCAGTTTCAAATTAAAATTCAAGATACTGCTTCCATAGGGCCTCATTAGTGGGAGAAATTAACAGATAACGTATTGCAACTGTTGTAAGATCATGTCTTCAATATTGAGCAGTAACATTACTATACATACAATTTTTTGGCCTGTAAGGCATTCCAGGAGCTCCAGAAGTTTTCGTCCATCTCGAAAATCATTAAAAAGATCTTCAATGCAACGTCTTCCACACTGAAATGTAACAAAGGCTTCTGTTGTTACAAAATCAGAGCAAGAATCAGCATTGCTAAATTATGGCACCCAACTCTGAAAGCTGAAAAAGCCACCATCATGAAAATCTGCGTATTCTATTTGTGTAAAAATACTGTGCAAATTTAAATAAACATTAAATACAAGAAATATGGTGCAATATAAAGGAGAAAAATATCTTACAACTGAACTTGTAGGATTTTCTCACATACCTGCACTTTGTAACAGGGCGCTGAGTAAGAGAAAGTGGTGCCACCAATTTTAAGTACTTATGGCAAGGAATGCATCCTTCATTCCCTCTTAAACTATTGACATCATAGGTTTAATATAAGCCACTGTCGTGTTCATTCAGCCAGGACAACAAACCACATTTTGGGGTGCATTGCACAGCATGTCCAGCTGGTCAAGAGAGGTAATTCTCCCATTATATTTAGTATTGGTGTGTCCTTAACCTGTGCAGCTCTGGGCTTTGCCATGTGAAAAAAGATATTAAGGTCCTTGAAAACGCCCAGAGGACATCAAAGCTTATAACAAGGCTGAAGATATGTCCCATGAGGGAAAGCTGAGGGCACTGGGCTGTCCAGTCTGGAGAATATGAGGCCAAGAGGTAACCTCAACTCCTCTCTACATCTCCCTGAAGAGGGGAAGCAGAGGGAGGTGCTGGGCTATGTTCCTGCCAGTGACAGGACAGGAATGGCACAAAGCTGTGCCAGGTGAGGGTAAGATAGGCATGAAGGAAATTTATTTACTGTTAGGATGGTAAAATACTGGAACAGGTTCCCCATTGCAGTGGTTGAAGCCCCACTCTTGTCAGTATTCAAGTTGGATTATGTACTCAGTAATATGCTTTAACTTTTGGTTAGCCTTCAAGTGGACAGGTATTTGGACTCTATGAGCTCTGAAGATCTCATCCAGTTGAACTATTTTATTTTGTTCTGTTTTGTTCTATTCTGTGAGAAAGTGTTGCAGAACCAACCATTTGCATACACCATTACTCAAACAATTAAGCCAGAACTAAATATTCATGAAGCCTGAACACAAACTTGCCAATTAAGGTTCACTTTAGGAGAAAAAATAAGAAAAATAATTTGCCAAAAGCCAGAAAGATATAACAAGCTGAAATGTCTAACAGTCTCTTTTTCAAGTGCTAGAAAAGAACTTGGAATTACACAAAGAAAGCAAGTCATAGGCTTATTCTAATGAGGGTGTGACAAAGGTCTATGTTCATAGGACATACTTGGAATTATACTGACTCAGGGCCTCATTACTGTAAGTGACTAAAAGATAATTTGCATTTCTACATATCAGCAGCGAAAGAAAAAGGGACAATGTGACAATGGCAAAAGATTATTTACTCTTCCTATTGTTAGGTTAAGTTTCTGGGCTGACATTTGGACTAATGCATTAGGTCTTAACAATGCAGTACTATACATTTGTATAGCTTAGTCACTTTGTAAATTTTATGCGCACCTACGTCTTTTGAAAAAAAAAATTATTTGCATGAGCTCTGTTAACAACAGCAATAAAAAACAGTGATTATTTTGTAGAGTGTCTAGTAGTATCACCTGTCCCTGTTATTTCTAATTTGTCAAGTTTCACAGATGCTTTGATTCATTTGAGAAAAAAACTGTAATTTAATTTGCTAGAATTGACACCATGGTGACCATGCTACACTGTGTATCTTCTTTTACTACAAAGCAGTGTAGAATTGGGAATCCATATTACATGGAAAACATTTGCTTTTCTGTTAGCAGAAAAGTTTTGGAATGCACAATACTAGCTGGGAATTAAGTAAGAAATGTATTATTTTTTTTCTGAAAATGTCCGTTTCTTCAGAAAGTTTCTAAAACAGATAATGGAATTACGACAGTTTCCATTGCTAGATTCATTTTTTCCCCTCAATCAATCAGTATTTATATGTACAGCACAAAGTATAGTGCCATTGACTACTCTGGCATGACTCCCTCTTTCTCTCACTGCTGCTGTTTTTCTGAAGTAGTACTTCTTTCAGTCATTTTTTTGGTAATATCTTGTTTCTTCTTCATGGAATGAACAAATCCAAAACATCAAATATTTTCTACAGCAATGGGGATCCTTGCTCTTTAGCCAGCTTTCACAACCTGCACTATCCTTTCTAATAGATACTTTCTACTTGATACACACGCTGCAATTTCATTACTGTAAACATTTGAAAACTAGTACTGAATAAATTCACATCTGCTTTTTAAGCCCTGCCCAATCGCTTGAAATATGAGTTTTAACTAATAAGACTGAGTGTTTACTATGATAAATAGCTTTACTAAAATGCTTCCAATGATACAAACACCACATGCCTAGTCAATTCACGCACAGTATTCCTGAAGTTGCATGTTACTTATTCATTACAGCACAAATTTGAAATGCAGGCATTTGACTAATTGGAATAGATGTTACTTTGTTCTCTAATTTAAAAAAAATAATAATTGAAGTTATTTTTGCAGAGGGAAAGAACAAAACCTATACGCTTTTAAGAGAACATTTTAGCATTCTTTAGAAAGTTCAAGTGATCAACAGACACTTCTGTAAAACCCTGGAAGAATCATGCCCATAATGTTACTGAATCATTATGAGAATATGAGCATGACATTTTGGTAACAATATATCAACACCATGAAGAAAAACAGAATTGGCCTTCATAACTACCTCTGTGTCTTCCATTTCAAAGTATTCACACAGCTTTGGTCGAAATCCATCCAGGACAGGTGAAAATTCTACTTGACAAAATAATGTGGGATATTTTTTTCCATTAAGAAGGGAAATAAAGACACCGCATGGTAGCAGCTGCAGCAAGACATTTTAATTACAAATATATCACAAATAAACCTTAAAACAAAAGTTACCATTGATTTTTGAGGGTCTCAGAAGTATACTTTCTATTAATCAGCAACTAAAAATACCTTAAGACACTCTAGGCTGCTGTCACACATCTCATCCTTACCCTTAAGAAGGCTGTGATTTTTCTGGCAATAGGGTAATTAAATCTTTGTGCTCAATAGATTGAATGTCTTCAGTGGATTGATACTGTAGTAAGTCTTCAGAAACAAAGGGCTCACAGAAGCATCAAATAAATGCATTGTATTTTCAAGGTCATCGAAAAGTGTGTTTTAAGTTGTATGTAGCTTCACAAACAACTAAAAAACAATTACAGCTAAGCCTAGGCCTGTATTATAAATTTTTGATAATAGCCTTGCTTAAAACCTTTTTTTTTGTTTTTGTTTTTTAAAGTCATGAACTATAACTGCTGCTCTTTATCTGCAGAAGAATTTAAATGTTTACAAGAATCTCCTGTGCAGTTTACATGCATGATGACTTGCATTACAAACATATACACAACTGCTGTAGGCTGAAATGCTGAATCAGACTTTCCCCTTATAACACTGATGATGGAACAGGTGAGGGAAAAGAGAGAGGGTATGGAGAGGATGGAGGAAGGACTGCGAAGGAAGGACTGTGAATGAGGCACAGCAGCCTGATTGGCTGCAATTGGAAGCCAGAGATAATTGTATGGTTTAACTCCATATATGAACTACAACATTAGTTGTATAGATTAGCAAAGTAATTTGAATCTCTCTCTTCCTTACTTGCTTACTTATTTTAGGGAGTCTGACAATTAATGGAGATACCTTGGGGTTTGGAGGAAGAAATGAGAAGGACAGTGGGAAACAATAAATGGAAGAAAGAGGGAATAATTGTTAAACCGGTTTTTTTTTGTGTATGTATTTTTTTTTTTTTTTTTTAATGAAAGAAACAGTGAAGTCTTTACAAAAGTAAAACTAACAAAAAAAAAAAAAAGGAATTTATTGGAATATTTATGAGTAGAAAGACTCTAGGGATTTAAATACACAGCAGTGTTTTACGTATTATTTAACCTACTATCTTCGTGTTGAATAAAGGTCACAATAGACAATTCTCTTGGTTTAGCTGATACGGCTGGTTGGCAGAAACTGCTGATCTTTACATAACCTAAGGAGACCTGTATGAAATCCAGGGGTTTATTCTAAAAAGAAAATCACAAAAGAATGTGATGCAGAAGGGAAGATTCCTGTTTTATTATAGATGAAATTAAAGTCCCAACTTAAATGAAGATGGAAGAGAGCTCTGATTAGAATTCTGAGCATACGTATACTGTATCACATGGAGAAAAGAATCTCTCTGTTACCCTGGCAAACTGCACTAACCTCAATCTTACAATTACTGCGCAACGTACAATTAACAGCTCAGAAAAACAGGGCCACTTGCAGTAGTCTCTTCCACCACATATTATAGGAGAATGTGTACTTAAGAGTACTCCATGTGTTAATTCAGCCACATGTACACAGTCTATAATGCTCTCAGTATTCATTAGACTGAAATAACACTGAAAATGTACCAGTTATTTTCCAAACTCAGTCAGCAACTGAATCAATCCCATGACAAAAAGCACTACTGAAAAAGACAAAAGCAGACAGAAAAGAGAGAAAAGAGAAAATTGAGAAACAGACTGCAAGCAAGGGTCAATAGATAAATGTTGAAAATTGAAAATTTTTGATTATGAATATATTTAAAAATCATAAAACGTCAAATTCTATCCTATTCACCTCACTACTGTCTAATTTTTGTGACAATTTGTGCTCTTCTTTCCAAAGACTCTGCATCAGATCTTTTTCTCCTCATGTAAATCGAATAAATAGTCAAAAAAAGATTTAATCATGTTATTTCTCATATGCATTATGGAAAAAGTTAATATTAAAGTAATTATTGCATGAAAAGATGGTATTCTGTGAAAAGCTCTCTGTTCAGTGCTATGTGCCAACTAGTAATTATGAAAGTGACACAGAAAGGAATACAAAATAATTGAAAGATAACTTGTAACAGATAAGATAAGATAACAAGGTACAAAGACATCTGTTGATGAACACTGCCTTTTCTGTTACATATCATTCAAAAAAATTCAAAAACTGTTA